ACTGCTAAACTGTGTCCCTAAGCACCAACTCTACACCCAGGGTGGGGGTTTCACCCCCTCCCCTGGCCAGCCTGTTCCAGTGTTTGATAACCCTTTCAGTGAAGAAATTTTCCCAATATCCACGCTAAGCCTCCCCTGGCATTACCTGAGGCCATTTCTTCTTGTTCCTTCACTTGTTACTTGTGAGAAGAAACTGGCACTCACTGCTCTACAACCTCCTTTCATGTAGTTGCAGAAGGTGATAAGGTCTCCTTTGAGCCTCCTTTTCTCCAGGGTAAACAACCCAAATTCCCTCAGCTGCCCCTCATGAGACTTGTGCTCTAGGCCTTCCACCAACATAGCTGCCCTTCTGTGGACCTGCTCCAGAGAAGGTCAACTCACTAAAAAAGAGTTACTAAGAAGAAAATTAGCTCTATCCCAACCAAAAGCAGGACACAAATAAATCCCATAAAGAACAATGGAGGAAAGCCTCAGTGCTAGCTGTACCTCAGGCAGCCACACAAGGCCAAACAACTAGGACTATATGTAGTCTGATCCAGATGTTTAAAAAACAAGGGGTATCCGGGGACCTGGAACAAACCAACCAACCACTGGGTCCTAAAGATCCCACAAATCACCCTTTCAGAGTTTAAGAGGGAACTACAAATCTTTATTTTTTTTCTTTTTTTTTTTTTTAAAGATAAAACATGCAGTTTCCAAAACTGAATTTTTGTTTTATAAACAACAAAAGAAAAATTACTGAAAAAGAGTAAGACTTTCAAAACCAAATGTTCAAACTATTTGAATAGGTCAGTTTTATCTTAAGTATTATTGCTTTCCTATCTTGATTATAGCTTTGGGTTTATATGATTAAGAAGAGATATTTCAGGCATCTTACATTCATAACAGTGATCAAAAAAGTTTATGCTCAGCTGACATTTAAGGTCAATAGGGGAACCCCCTCCCATTTCAGAACACTGCTGGAATCAGACACCGGAACCAATACCTTTCTGCTCTCAGATGAAGGTGATAATCATTCCACTGCAAGGCCATTTTCTTCCTTTCTCACCCCATTAATTTTGCACTCCTTGCTACTGAGCTCTCAAGCTTCAAAGAGAAGAAAAGATCCCCACGTGAAGTCTCACTATTAAGAAATTATCCTGGGAGCACTGGATTACTAATTCTCATCTTGAGAACAGGAGGGAACTTTAGTGGGTAGACTGTAGCGTAATTGTTACTCTAAGAGACAGGCACTGACAGTGTATTCATCCTTCACCGTTTTTAATGAAGGTATAGCAAGTCACATCTGATTTAGGATACGGACAAGAGTGTGAGCACTAGTCCCGAGGATGTAATTTTGGGCTCTGAACCACAAATGGACAGACATTTTTCAATCCAGAAACATCCATCTAAATCCTTGAAAGATGTGGGAGTTAGGATACAACCCTGCAACCTCTACCTCATTATTTAGCCTAGCTCTTTTAGTACATGAGCGTTCTGAAGCACTGCTCTGATAGTCCTTATTGTCCCCTTCATCTCAGATGTTTAGCTTTCACAGCACCTAACTTGTAAACACGCAAGTTTCCACTGGATACAGTTGTGAGTAGGGCCTATCTGCCAGAATATCAACTTACACCAGGGCTCATACTCCATTTCTGCTTATGCAACACATACATTAAATGCTTTGGACAAAGAACTATCTTTGCTAAATTCTAAAATCTGATTTTCATTTAAGGGACTAATAAAGTTAGGGACAAACAAGATGGAAGCTTGTTTTCCACTGTAAAGGTAAGCAATGCTCTCCGTGCTCTACAAAGGCCTATAGGACTATACAGTAGAACCAGTTTAGGGTTGGCATAGCACAACATTAGCACAGTGAGGAAGAGAGTGGGGCTTTTTGATACAGCCAGCTATGTTCTCCTGATTTTCATACTGATGTCATCAGATTATAATTGATCATGATCTCAAAAAGATACTGTAACATGGGTAAGAACTGACTTAAGGAACCAAAACCCCCAGTCCCCCCACCCTTCTCCTCAGTCTGTGCCACTACTAGAAGAGCAACAGAGGAAAGAAGGGAAGGCATAAGCTTGATGTTCAGCTTTTAACAAGTTGCAAACCTCTGTAGCAGGAATTTCCAACTGGCCAACAGTTAGATTATACCTAATTTGGGCTAAAGACATTATGGATGCGTTTGTCAATCTGACTCTTACTCAAGGTTTACTGCACACCAATTTTTTAACTTTTTTTTTCCTCCCACGCAGACATTTTTGTAACACCGTAACAGCGGGTACTCTCCCTTACCCTGAGATGCCTTTCCATTTGAGCAGTATCTCTCCATTGCTTCTTTAACGTTATGGCTACTTTTAAGAAGTTCATACAGTGCCTATAAAATAGAGAAAGTCTTTAGAAAGAGTCCAAGTTTGTAAATATCCAATCTAGAACTCTAAAGCTAGCTTTTCAGTTAACATATCTAATGTAAAAAAGGATGATTTACCTTTATACACAATGAATATTTTAAAACAACCAAAAGCAAAACAATCCAAAAGGTGAGGCAAGGTTTAGTTAAGAAAATGTGAACTACTGCATGCAATTACTAGAAAAGCTGGATTTGTCAACAGTATGGCATTAAGAAACATTACATATCACAACACTGCCAATATTCAAACACTGATAATTTTGAGCATGTGCTTAAAATGACAAGTAAGATCCTGACCCAAATATTATCTAATTAAAACACCACATTTAGTAGTGATGTCTATATAAGGCAGAGAAAGAGAACAGATTAATTACAAAGCAATGTGTCACAAATGGAAAAGGATACATAACATACTTGTTCATTGTCCCGTGTATGTAGTCCTTCAGAAATTCTGCCAATCATTTTTTCATTTCCTGTTCTTAAGGAGGTTTCAAAAAGGTATTCCTTAACTTTACTTTCTGAGATCACATCAGGTTTCCATAGTAAATGGTCTTCATTTTCATAGGCTGTTAAAACAGAAATCCCTTAATGCCAGGTTGTAGCATTAAAAGCTATTTCACAAAGACAACGAACAGGAACACAGAAGTAATCAAACCAAGCACCATTATGTCACTTCTAAATTGCAGTTCGCTTTTCCCCCAAAAGCCTCAGCTAAGAGGCAGACTCTGCACTGTGACACAGTGAAGAAATTCAGGTTCCATGAGGATAATGGCCTATATTCCTGAGATGAAGTCTCCACAGGAGAACTGCTTGTTGACGTCTAGATGATTCAAGTCAAATTCTGCATATCTATTATCATCTTCCTATAAACAAACTACCAAAACCATTCACAGTTTTATTCGGGTGTTTAATAAACAATAGTTTACAGTTCAAGAGCATAGGATATTACTTTAATATTTCAAATACTAAATGTAAAAAAAAAAAAAAAAAAAAGGAGGTGGCCAACTGGTCGATTTCAACTAAAATTTGCCAAAAACTACGTATTAGAATGGAAACCTAGGTCTCAGCGTGGTATGTTATTCCATTCACAACCAACTAAATGTTGTTAAGAACTTTTATGCTGCATACTTCACAAGCAGTCAGGAAGTACAGTCTTCCTTCATAGTACGCTTATACGTGTGAACTTCTTAAAAAGCTTATTTGGAAAACTATATATTTGAAATACACAAGAGCTGGCTTGAACCTTTGTCATCCTCTGCACATTTCTATTCTAGATTAAACTACACATCCTTTACTCTGATCAATAGACGTGATCAACATTGCACATAATGTTTCATGTCATCTCTTGGCGATACAAAATTACAGAGTTAAAAATCCCTCACAAAGCTGCAAGAAACAACATTGAAGCAAGGTAAGGAATAAAACTACATCTCCTATGAAAGTTCTGTCACAGTCTAAGAACATGGGAGGCTTTCGAACAGACATGTTTGAAGTGTAAGGTTTACAGAACAGCAGAACTGCCTTCTAGCACAATTCTGGTAGCTGCGACTACACAGCCGAAATACAACCCCTGCCTGCCATCACAAGCTCTTCAGGGAGTACAGAAGAGGCTTTAACAGAGTTCTCCACCCCTATAACCCAATCTAATGACCAAGCATTGCTGACAATCAGTTTCAACCTCCTTTATCGACAACAACAACCCAGCACTTCCGGCTGGAGTTCATGACTGATAATCTCAAGAAGAGCTCCTGAGGCTCTCTGATTTCGGACGTACCTCTTTGCTCTTGGCTATGCCAACAGACAAGATTCTCACTTGGTCTCTCTAGCACCAACTCATTCCAGAGAAAGCTGTCAGATTAATCCCTTCCTAGTCATTCTCTGGGTTATTGGAACTTCTGTAATTCTTGTCTGAAGAGAAGTCAAGATATGTAAATAATAAAAGGACTATCCAGATAAATCTAGTTCCTATTCCTTCATTTATTACAACCCATAAGCATCATGTTTGAATTTTAGAAAACAGGAGACTTCCCTGCACCTTTCAAGCAACACAAGACACATCCACTTGCTACTGCCTCCAACTCCATCCATGCTGAACATTCTTCTTCTCTATTGCAAAGGATCACTTCTCAAAAAAAAGCAATAGATACTGGTGAAAAGGCTTGATAGACTTCACTAGAATATTATTGCCATGATACGTTCTAGTTTGTACACAAGTAACTTAGAGAACATTGAAAATTTACAGAAAAAAAAAAAAAACAGAATGCCCTTCATTTATTAACCTATCCCCCAAACTGTTCCTTTATTTCATAGCTTTTCCACTCACGAGCAAATTTCTTTCATTATTTGCTTTTTTAATTCCACTGTTCTATGTGCTACACTCTTCTCACAGTGAAGGCTTCTAAAAGATAAATAAAACTCTATTAATAAAGTTTTATTCTGCTCTAGCACAACTGCAGTTTTTAACCTAAATTTACACTGTAATAACATCATACCTAAAACATCCTATTTTTTAAAAGACAGTAAGTGTATCAGGACCCACATCAAGCAATACAAAACACTGCTTTGAAGATCTTCACTGTAAACTAAGTTACAAACTCACAACCCACTTACAGTACTCGGAGGAAAATATCTCCTTGTCAACCCACAGTTTGTTCCCTCCTAATATTACTAGGTACTTCAGAATTAACACTGTAATCCACCCTCCAATGCTTTCTTCAGAATGTCCTCTCAAAGTTGGAAGGATCATGTTTATGTGATATAATTATGTAGTCATGTTACTTCAGGCTTCTAGTGGACATTTTTTAAGGTCTCTGAGACTTTAACTAAGACACTGAAATTACCTTATAAATTTAAATAACATTTTTCCATCAACTGCTACGTATGAACAAAATAAAACAGTCAGAAGAACCTACCCTTTTCATCATCGCTGTATCTGCCAAGGTAAGGTGGAATTTCAGCCTGGTACTGTGAACCAACCATTATTTCCTGAAGATGCAATAAAAATGAAAAGAGAAAGGTATTAAGTTAACATTTTGTGTACGGAAGCATTAAAAATGCCATTAACCTGGCACTTGGTAGAGAATTCCAGAACTAAGGTATTACCTCAGATACGTACTATAAATCTTAAACTCTAACACTAAGAAAAATGCATTAACTTTTTTTTCTGAAGACATAAATTATTACCTTTCTCAAATCTTCAGATGAATTACCATTGTCTGCCTCTACATCTTCACCATCCGACTCCTTATCTCCATCACACGTAGTGTTTGCTTCAGACACAAAGAAGTTTGGTTTTAGCTGTGAACAATCTCCAGGTCAAACACAAAGCTACAAGATATCCTTTACCTCTGAAAGGAGCACCTGCTTTTATTCTGGGAGACACTATGAGCCTGTTAATCTATACTTATAACAAACTAGCATGAAGTTAGAAGGCACTTCTATACCACAGAACTGGAACACTTACCATCTTACCATCACTGCAACTGAGAAAATCTACATGTCTGTCAGTTAAAACAAAGTCAGATAATTTTTCTTCATCAATTCGCTCAATAAAGGCTAATACCTTACAGACAATGTTTTTTTCCCATAGGAAGAAATAGAAGGGAGCACTCCAAGCAACTCAAATACAGTGCACCAGAGAACAAGTCATATTTTAGAATGCCATGGTACTAGGTTGTGAAGGAATTCTACTTTTATAGCTGTATAATACCCATGAGAATAGAATCTACAGTTTTGATACAATTAAAACTATTTTCTACTCTCAAAACTTTAGGAACAAATGCTCATAAACAGGGCTGCAATTTTAGCTTCACCACAGCTAAACAGAATCATCAGCATCAGAGACAACACCCAAGACTGTATGGACTGAGGCTCTTCTTCTGTAGTCGCTAGTACAATCTCTTTTTGTTGTTAGAAGTAGCAAGCAAGAACCTAACGTGAATGCATGAAATAACAGTAAGCCTGTATAATCATAGTCAATTATTTTTCCAACTAATGCAAACTTGAAATACCCTATATTATGTATTAACTGTTTTATCTTAAAACTTCATGTTATCTCAGTATCTGAGAGAAGGAAAGAAATCAGAAAAAAAGATGAAACTCTTCACATCACAGAGAACTGACACCTCTCTCCCTGAAATGGTGGATATTGGATTTTCAAATGTCCAGCCAAAAGCTCTAGCAGAGCAAGTAACATCCTGATAGAAAACCACAGTAGCTGAAATCAAATAGGACTCTTCCTTAATCCTCAGTAAGATGATGGGCTAATAATTTTTTCTATAAAGCTGCTACACTTACAGTGCCATATTCATTATATGTGTATAAAAATTCACAAGAAATGCTTAAATGCCAGCAAGTCTGGGATTTTGTAGCTGAAAAAAGTGCATTATCATTTTTATGGTTTTTGTATCTTTCTTTCAATACAAATTATTACACGATCCTCAAAATTCAAAGGGTGAGAATCACTGATGACTGAGACAGAGTATCCCCTGTATCATTCCCCTTCTCTGGAGGAAGGAAATCCCCCAGGAATAGCTTCAGATACTTGCCAAATTAAAACTGTGATACACCAGTGAACAAATTAGCAGCAACAAGCAGTGACAACCAGCTCATCCAGGCTGGGTAACTGAGCCATGGGTTCTCAGGTCTTTCCCATAATAGACACCTCCACGGGTAGTGAAATTTTGGTGGCCATGGGTTTATAGGCCCCACCCCATACAAAACCACCTTATCTCACCCCAGGAAGTCCTATGGAAATCTGTTGAATGTGTGAAGGCAAATAATCACAAAGAAACTGTGTCCCAGTTCGTATCCAGAGACTGCACCGAGGAGTCACTGGCTTAAAAGCAGCAGCAAAAAATTTAGTAGAGAAACAACTAATTTAAAAGAATGAGTTACATATTCATGTAATTCACTAGCAGACTGAAAATCATGGTGTCCCTCAATACCACATTAACTGTTAATGATGAAGTTACTGTCTTTGTAGGTAAATTCTACTTGTGTTTTGTAGCACAAGTTAAGCACAGTACCAGGTAAAATTATTTTAGGTAATCAGTAATACCAACCAAAACCAACATTGATGTACAACACTCTACAAATGACTGCTTCTCAATTCCCAGTAACTGTGCAACTTTGGTATTTTACACTAAGAAGCTATCTATAATGCTAAGAGTTTTTGAGTATTATCATAAAATGACGTTCCCTACATCTTAATGGCCGAGGAAAGAAGTCGGTAGCCTCATGTGAAGTAACGGACGGTGTCAAGTCATCAGCAGAGGACTGTGTTTCTTCATCATCACCCGACAAAAGGTCTTTAGCAATTTCCTCCTGCATCATTAAAATAAAAAAAATAAATCTCAGATGACTGTTAAGTATAGACTGGTGACCTTTTAGAGTCAGCGAATTTTAAGTCTCATTAATTAAAATTAGTAATTTCACCACAAGAAAATTTAGCATACCATACTCCTGCAATTAAAAAGTTAGTTTGCTCCTCCAGAATTGAAGAATATAAACATTCATTTCACAGTTGAACACAGGGGTTCATTTCCCCTTTGTCTTCTAATACAACAGACGCACAAGAAGTAACTTCTACAAACATCCATCTCAGATGTTCTTCCAACTGCTTCCAGTGAAACTGTCGGTGTTAATTGCCTCAAATCTTTACAATTCTGTCATTCTTTGCAGCACAGACATACCAAAGCTATAAAAGGCTGTTACCCCTTAAACTCTGGGTGAAAAAAAAAAAAAAAAGCAGGCAGTTTTGTAGACTTTCACTGAGATGACAGTTACAGATAATAGACAACTTGTTATCTTCCCAAAACACAGAAAAATGATGTTTCTGTAGGTTTTAAAAAAGATATTAAGACAAAATAAGCACATTTACTCCACTAGCAGACATGTTTGAACATCTCTGTATAGAGGTTAGGAAGGGAAAGAACTGTATTAGACAACAAGCCAACTACATTTTTCTAGCCTCAACACAATCATGGATCCTAATGAGAATCAGATGTGCAGAGCCATCATTATACCCTACTTTTTGTGGAGTTTACAATTACATCATACTCACTGAAAGCAGAACAGAACAAAACAGAAAACCTGACATACACTTACTACCTACATACTTAATAATCCAAATAACTAGCTGCCTGTGATTTACAGCCAAAAGTCAGATTAAAATCTCAGAATTCAAAGTTAGCTTGCAAATCACAAAAACAAAGTTTCAGGTTTTTACACCAGCAAGGCAACATACCTCAGTCACTGCACACAGAACAATGTCTCTTCTACTCCCTGAGGTTGAGACCTTTCCAAATGATACCCATTTGAAAGCAGCACTGCAAAGAATTCTGGACTGCATTTTCAAATTACTCACCAATGTTTTGATAATTGACATGTGTATCGGAAACCAACTGTTTCTGGACACTGCATGTATTACAAAAATATACCACTTCTATTTAAAAAAACCCCACCAATTTAAAGTTCTTTTAGAGTAAACTGCTAACTTACCCATTTCTCATTTGTAGTAATACAGTGCCACTGAAGTTGCTATACATTTTTGAGTGTAATAATCATAAGCAGTTCCTCACTATCCTTGAAGAGGAATGAATTCAGAGTAATACTGTATATTGAAATTAACAAAGATACATATTTCGCAACATCAAGAGACAGTGAAATATAATTTAAGGTCATGCAGATTTCTGCTTTTAAAACATAAGACAGGTGAAAACAATTCTGACTTACTTTATCTAAAGTCATATCTGGAAGTTCATCTGCAAGTTCACTTGGAGAGCTATCTGCATTGGAACCTGGCATAACTGGAATTGTGGGTTCATAGCCATAGAATGCCAGTAAATCTTCCAATGGCATGTTTCCTTCCTAAAACAAGAGCATTAACAAACATTTTAACACATTGTCAAAGACTTGTTCAGGCCTAAAAGGATAAGACACATTTTGAAGAACAAAGCAAAAAGCTTAATTGAAAATAGGAATCTCGATTAAAGACAAAAAAACTTTTAGGCATGGGACCAAAATTATCCATAACCATGTCTCTTGGCATATAGTGAAGTCCCATCAAGGTATTCAAGAAAACTGTTTACCAGACTAAACTAAAGAGGAATTATTTAAAATTTTCTTCTTAACTGATTCACACTGTAAAGCATGATTTGCCTGTACTTCTTCAGGGCAGAAGACATCCTAGAAACACTAACAACCACCCTAAAAGAGAGAAGTGCAGAAAAACTGGAAGGCTTCGGTCCTACATAATTACAGGCACAAGTGTGCAAGACCCAACAAAGTTAAACCAATATACCAACTCTCCATCTCCCACATAACTAATGACCACTGAGAAAGCACTAGGAGAAAGACAAATAAAGAAGGCAAAAATCAAGAGAAAGGTTTGATTTGTAACTTTTTTCCACCAGCTTTTGATCAAGTATCATCAAGATTGCACCTTAACACGATTCATAAAATAAGCAGCAGAGATTTTTTTCAGTTGCCTGATTCAAGCCGTAAAAATACTAAAAATATTTCCCAATATTTATACCTTTAAAAGTTGTATTACCTTTAAAAATTTCTTGTTGAACTCAAACACTGATTAAATTACTTGTTTTCTTTAGTCAGCTAAGGTCTTAGTCCTGCAAAGACTTTTCACAATGGGTAAACGTAAACTCATGTCCAAGTCTTTCCAGGATCGGGACCTAAAGTAATAAAGTGTTTAAGATGAATGGCTCTCAGTTTTCCTTCCTTCTACTACAGAAGCAGTAAAATAATTTTCTGGAGTAACAACTCCATTTTAGCCACTACACTTGGCAAGCTGCTTTTAATTACAAGTTCACAATCAGTAAAAGCGTAATTGTAAAGGTAGCCGAGCAAAGGAAAAAAAAAAAAAAATCAGGAGTAAAACCACTGTCAAGTCAACATTTAGAAAATTTGTTTTCATACAGACTACAAAAACACGACCTCCTATTTGATGCTAAAAATTACATTTCCACAGAATTCTGTTGACTAAAATCTGCAGTTGTGCTGCATGTAAGTGGGTCACCAAACAGTAATGCAAACAGCACCAATTTGTGGGTGTTCAGCATTCGGCAGGCATTTAGAAGAGGTCATGCACGGCCACAGATGAACAACAGGTGTAAATGGGAAAAACATGTCATTAAAGATTGTAGAACCAAGCAGGACAAGCCAAGGAACATGCTGGTCATTTTGTACACCCACCAAACCCTAAACTGATAAAATCAAGACATCTCACTACCACTTACTTAGCAAAGGAATGTGACCCCTCACACCTAAAACTGTTTGATTACTGGAGAAGCAAAACCCAACAACACCAGCTGTCACTTGACAATAAGCAAAAGGTACAGTGACAACTTATATCAAACTTAGAAATCGTAGAAATGATAAGTGATATTTGATGACAGGACTCGAAAGCGTGCTTTAGTGGCCCCTCTATCGAAGTAGAAAAAGGACTACGAAATGAAAAAGAAGAACATGAATGTAACACCAGTGTGTTTGAGAAGCTAAGTTCGGCCTTTTTCTGAGGATGCGCTGCTACATCCTAACCAAAGCTGATTTTATTTTTTTTTAACAAGCTGCAAAGGCATGCTGCAGGCAACTGCACCATACAATACGAGCGGAAGAGCAGGTTGAGTGTTCTCACTAGAACAGTTACTACAGGTATGGACACATAAAAAAGAACAAGTCACTCCTACCTTTTCTAAATCTTCAATTTCAGAGCTGAAATTTTTGCTCTCTTCCATCATTTCCTCTTCTTCGAGAGTTCGCTCATCATCATAATCATGTACCAGCATTTCAGCAGATGGGTCAAAGTCATGATCCTCAGATGACAAAGAGCCAACTACCAAAAAAAAACCTAATTTGAGTAAGTTTTTTCACTGTACCAACATGAAATTACATCACAGAAAAAAATTCAGTTGCACAAATTCTTTTACACACATGGTCAGAACTCTCAGCGGAGTAACTGGAACAAATTCCAAGCTACTTGACAAACTCAGCTGCTTTATATGCCCTTCCCGTTTCATGTTTGTAAGCAATAAGTGCCATTTTTTCTCTCCTGCCGTATAGAGCATTTGGGAGAAGTACCTAAACTACCAAAATAGTTTCAGAAAGTGCAATCCCGAATTAGTATTTTACCAAGTAAAAGACTGTTTAAAACATCCTTGAAATTATTATTAGAGGCACAAAGCACACACCACAAGATTACAGATGCTGCAGGACAGCAGTGATTTATAGACTCTTGACTCTACTCATGTGATTTGTATGGTAACAAGCATAGTTTTACACTGGTAAACAGTTAACTTAGGTTATGAATCAGCTTCCTACTATCAGCAAAATAAACAGTGACAGTTGCCATAGATTAGTTTACCCTCACAGATGGATCTTTTCTTAAAACTAATTTAATTTTTAGCACTTGTTCTAAAAAGGAAGAGTAATCTTAGCAGTTTCAAGAAATAGAGGAAAATATACTGGAAGTAACAAAACGCTTCTAATGGATCCTGTTAATCAATAAGCCATTGCGACAGCTCTGTGGTACAAAAGCCTTTTTTTCACCACTACGGAGGATACTTATATGTCACAAAGACTTTTAAGTACATTTTGTCAACTGTTAGATTATAATTGGATTCAACAAGTTTCGAGGATGTATATATTCTGCACCACAACAAAGCCAGAGTTCTACAGTGAAAATCACTGAATTACAGGGTTGGTTTGTTCTTTAGCGTTCACTTCCTTACAGCTTTCACAGTGGAGAAAAGAAACAGATTAGGATATTTCTCTTTCACTTCTGGTTTCCTCTTCTAGTTCTTACATACCAGTGCTCTGTTGTAATCCTTGGCTTACAAGCAGCAAAGAAAAGGTTTATTAAGAATTACTTCCATGTAAGAACTTCTTCAGAAGTTTTGAAAGAGACAGCTACAAATTTTCAGTCCTCTTCAAAAAAATAAAGCAGTATCCCTCTTTGCACTGCTTCCAAACTTGAAAGTGACAGTTGTACATTCTAAAACTTCTGAGACTTAAAGCATCTAGATAATTTTTCAGCAATTATGCTAAATCTTCATGCCTTATATGCAGGTAATCAAGGCAGACTTAAGACAATACTATGAAAGTTCATAATGTCATACTGTAGAGAAACCTTAAGGTGAAAAATGCTTTTTATTCACATGCTATTCATATTACGGTCTCCTAGACCTTTCAGTATAGATGACAGTGCTACATCCATTACAATAATGGTACTACGTGTTGAATTTTCCTGCTGTTGGCCATCACATCCTGATACACTTTTAAGGAAGTGTCAACTGCCACAACCTATTTATTCGTAAGTATGCTCAAGATTATTGCTTCTAATCACTGTTCTAACTCACATTGAGTAACTCGAGTGGAAGTTCTAAAAATACAAGATCAATAAATTCCGTAATACTAGTTAAAAAAGATCACAAACAGCCAATGCAGAAGGCAGTTACACAGAATTGTACAAAATACATTCACCAAATACTTATTTGAGTAGCCCTGCTGACATTGACTACGCTTGCTTAAGTATTACAAAGAACCTTTAACAGCCTTAAAAAAAAGCCACAAAAAGACTTAAAAATTACTTATCATTATGATTTCAAATGTTTTCTGTTATTACCAGGAAGTCAAAAATTTACACAACCCTGCAGTTATCAGCAAGAGGAGTTATGAGCAGTCTCTCTGCAGGCTACAAGGCTTTAGTGAGACGCTGACTTAAAAGCACTACAAAACTTTGTTCTCATTTTGGGTTTCGAGCATCCAATTACTAACTGCAATTGGGGCAAGTGATGGACTTCGCAATGTTCATCTCATTCTCTCAAAAATCTGGCAAGTAGTTAATTTCGTGCATATAAAGCGTTAGGAAAGCTATGAGGGGATCCATTTAGTTAGGAGCAGGAAGGAAAGAGCGGCGTGCGGGCGGCAGGCCGGGTGCTGGAGCAGGAGGTGGGCGAGGACGAACCTGG